ATATTTTGAAATAGTGCATCGACGTTTTACAGCAATGAAAGCTGGATATATTATCACCAAATAACCAAATTATGAAATACCTATTTTAACTTAAAGATTCAGGGCCAAACCAGTATCTGCCTTTACAAGATTGAGCTGATGGTGAAATGCAAGGTGGTGAACGGCATTCTAGCAAGAGTGTGAAGAAAGAAATGGAAGGCTGTTGGTCGCTGAAGGGAGAGAAAGGAGGGGAGGTAAAGAGAGGAAAATCTCTTCTCTACTCTCAGAATGGAAATGGATGGTCAACAACAGTCATTTCAAGAGAGAGTGAGACCAGGGACGGGGACTGAGGACAGGGGAGGATGAGGGGTCAGGCAGGTCTTTACTGTCCTGTGTCCCTAGCTCCCAGGTGATGGCCTTGGAGTGCCTATGCTGCTAGGATGAACCAGCTCACCTGTGCTCTGTCACTTCTACCTCCTCTGCCCAGGACCCTAGGTGAGCCCAGGGCAGCCAGTGCCAGCCCTTCCATGCCCCTCCTCCTCCAGTTCCCTAAAGCAGACCGAAGAACTGGGAGGCTGACAGTGACTTGGAGAACAAGCAGGATACAACGGTCTTGTGTTCATCTATTTATTCCTGAATGGATGAATGAATGAGAGAATAAGCATCTATTCATTTAACATACTGAGATACTAGAAAGGTTAGGCTATGAAAATTCCCTTTTTTTTTTTTTTTTGAGACAGAATCTCGCTCCGTCACCCAGGCTGGACTGCAGTGGCACAATCTCAGCTCACTGCAACCTCTGCCTCCCCAGCTCAAGCAATTCTCCTGCCTCATCCTCCCGAGTAGCCGGGATTACAGGCACCTGCCACCATGCCTGGCTAATTATTTTTCTATTTTTAGTAGAGACAGGGTTTCCCCATGTTGGCCAGGATTGTCTGGAACTCTTGACCTCAAGTGATCCACCCACCTCAGCCTCCCGAAGTGTTGGGATTACAGGCATAAGCCACCACACCTGGCCAGAATTCCTACTAACTGGTTGCTGCTGCCTAGAGCTGGGGTGTTGACAGGGTGTGAGAGTATCCATGCTGGGGAGAAAGACCTCAAGATTCACTACAAACAACAGGCTGCAGGCCAGAGGGGCAGGCTGTGGAAGGCCTGGATTTCTCAAATGATTGATTGCTTTTCACATCGTCCACTCCCTGGCATTAATCCCTACTTGTTTTCCAGGGTTTGTTTTTCAAGTCTCTGTGGCTCAGTGGAACTTCGATAAAGGTTTGATTGAAAAAGAAATAGCGACCGGGCGCGGTGGCTCAAGCCTGTAATCCCAGCACTTTGGGAGGCCGAGGCGGGTGGATCACGAGGTCAAGAGATCGAGACCATCCTGGTCAACATGGTGAAACCCCGTCTCTACTAAAAATACAAAAGCATTAGCTGGGCATGGTGGTGCGTGCCTGTAATCCCAGCTACTTGGGAGGCTGAGGCAGGAGAATTGCCTGAACCCAGG